TTAACTTGTACTTTTTTCTTTAGAGTTTATTATTAATAAGAACCACCCCGAAGAGTAAATAGAAATTCCTAATCGGATGAAATGGTTTTCACAAAACTTTTAAAATCTTCTGATAGAAAAATAAATTTAAAAGTGAAAATGAAAAATAACATTTTATCCTATTGGCTCGCCGATTTTTTCTAAATCTAAACTTTTCAAGATTCATATCTCAAGAGAATTCTTCTTTATCGTTTTAAAACTTATTTTTCTACACGCATAACTTTATGTTTTGTATTATTAATAAACACCACCCCAAAAAATACAGAAAAATGATAACTTTATGAAGTTCATTTTTATTATTTCATCTCCTAATTCGTTGAGAAAGCTTTTATGGATAATATCTCAAGAACGAAAGGGAATTCGAAAAAAATGTTATTCTTCGTTATCGATTTAAAACTTATTTTTCTAGGTGATTGATTTGTTCTACGCGATTGTAAGTAAGTATAACTTTATATTGACTTTCCTCTAATTTGTTGATATGGTATTTTCAAAACATTTTAGAAAAATAAATTTAAAAGTAAAAATAAAGAGTATGAGATGACATAGACCAGAAGCTTAAGCTTTAGTGGTTCTGTTATAACTTATAGATGCTCAGCTCACTTTCTCAATTTGCTTAGCAAAGACCTTGAAGTAACTAAAGTCCATGTTACTTTCATGTGATCCAAATTGTGAAATATTTTATCACCTGGCTATATCTAAGTATATGGCTTGTTTATACTGATGGAAAAGTTTTAAACAATGTGAGGTGGAACAGTGTAGTGGATTACCTGGAAATACATGTAAGTCAATGGGAAAAACTGTCAAAAGTATGTGAAGAAAATAAAAAGGAAATTGATTCTACAATATATACCAAAATATATCAAATAATGTACCAATATACCAGAAAGTATCTAATATTGATCCCAAACGATCTGCAGAAGATTACTTAAATATCTTAAAGCCAATATCCCGGGGACTTGACAAATTGCAAAAAAGGTGCTTCTCTATATGATGCTGAAGAAGTGTGAAAGAAAATAAGACACAAGTTTGTTTCAAACACAAGTTTATCAGAAATTTTACATTAGACCTTACCATTTACTTGTATTTATTTTAGATATAACTAAAACAAAATATAAATTGACGATGGAAGAGAAAGACGAAGCTATGAACACACTTAGGGGTACGTACGCTATTACTGGATTATTACCACTAATAGTTAAGCTAGAGACGAAAATGGAACCATTTTCTGCAAGGAAGTTATATCCATTGCTACTGTATTGCAGCGGTGGATTTCACAAAAGAACCTTCCTGATTGAGAAACTTCTTCCAACTTTAAAACAATTTTTATGTATTGTTTGTTCTTCAGCTTCAATAGAGAAGAGTCTTCACAACATTTGGGCTCGTCTATTACAATGTGTGTAATAAATGAGGAGTGGAAAAAGCCAGTAAATTAGTATTTTTATATAAACTTTACAGTGAATTTCACTTAAGACTCAATATACAAAAATATATTTCCATAGAGACCAGGGCTTGACCTAGAATTAGAAAAATTTCGTTTAGCCGTACCTCTCTTAACCCGTTACCTCCCACCGATCTATTTATAGATCACTGGTTTAGGACGTTTTTCACCCTTTCAGAGAAGTGGAAACAACGCGTGGTACGCAGCTAGAAATTGTATACATACTGTTAGTCCAGAAGTAAATGAACTTACGGATGAGGAAAAACTCGACGGTAATGACCTAAGTTTGCCCTTCGTAAATGACGTGTTGGATCCATTAAAATCACTGTTGATGAAGAATTTGATGAAGAAGATTCTCTCCCACTATCGTATCTTGTTCCAAGACGTCCCATAGATTTGTCTCACATTGACGAACCTCACACAAAAAGAAGTAGAAAAGATAGGGAAAATAGGCGTCCTGCCGAATGGATGAAAATACTGCCTACCTATGACCTGCCGCCTGCCGACAATGTTTGTAAAGAACCCTTGACAATGATACGTCTGTTCAAATTTTCTGCTTTACCAATGAAATATATGAATATAGACTGGAAGGAACAACAAGATATGCGAGTCAAAAAAACAAATATGGATGGTCTCTAAACATATAGATGACATAAAAATGTTTGTCGCTTTCACACCTTGCCTAGTGAAAGAGACTATTGGTCTAATCATGAAGACTTAGGTGTGCCAATAGTCAAGAATGCTATGACGAGAAATGCATACTACGAAATAAAATAATTTTTGCATTTTCAAGACAATAGAAAATTTGAAGAAAACAAGAAAGATAAAAGTTTCAAAATTAGAATTTTGATCGAAAAAATGAATCATAATTTTCGAAAGTATTTGAAGAACATCTGTTTATCGACGAAATGATAGTTAGGTATTACGGACTAATAAGGTTTGACTATAAATTATGGACGATGTGTGGTATCGATGGATATGGTTTTATTTTGTCTCTATATTGTGGAAAAGAAGGACACGAGTGGTTCCGCAAATGTTATCAGTTATAGAAAATCCCAACAGTTATTCCGTTTATTTTGATAACTTTTTTGATAGCCACGGATTGCCACTAAAGTTGCGACAGCTTGGATTTAAAGCAATAGGAATGATACGGGAGAATAGAATGCTAAAGTGTCCGCTACAAACGTCCAGACTTAGAAATGTTGACAGGAGGTACATTCGATTGTTGTTTTGACAAGGAAAATAAAATTTGAATTGTCAAAACCAACTTTGGCTCAACGGAACCTGTGTCAACTGTTAATAGATGGAGCAAGGCAAAAAAAGAAAAAGTACCAGTGCCTCAGCCTGGTGGATCAACATGACTGGCTTTTGGAAAAGCATTCTATTGCAGTTAGAGGGAAGAAGTGATATTGGTGTCTAGTAACTCGTATTATTGACATGGCAATTGTAAATGGATATCTTGTTTACCGTCAAATTCATGGTAAGAAGTCCATTTCAATCAAAAATTTCCGAAGGGACATAGCCGTACATTACTTAAAACTTGGACATAGCCGACATGTTATGAAAGAAAGACATCCCAGTCTACCTTCAATTCGTTACGGCGTCGTGTCAGTTCGCGAAGACATAAGATTCGACCAAAAAGGCCACTTTCTTGAAAAAGGAAACAGCAGCATCAATGCCCTAACGTTTTGCAAAAAATGCATTATAACATTATGTACAAGCTGTTTCGAGCCGTTTCATCGCAGTACATAAATGTTATATTACTTAAGAATTTACGTATTTATAAATAAATATTTTCCAAGTTCTTTTTTTACATTTTATTTTCGGCAAATACTCTTATATCTTCTCAGCGATCTATTTATAGTACAACCCTTTTCTCAGATTTTAATAACTATGTTTGTATGTGTCTACTTATAAAACAAATCTTTTCAAATAAATTAATAAATTGGGAGTTAACGGATTATGACGGCTTGTAGGTGGTAGGTATCGCTAGTTAGCATAAAATATCACTATGTTGCATATTTTTATTGAACTAAAACTAGAACTAACACTAGACCTAGAACTAAAAAGTTTCGAGTTTAGCCGTGCGTCTGTAGACTCACAGCTAAATATACGTCAGAAGACGCACGGCTAAACGTGCGTCATCTAAATGTTAGTTCTAGTTTTTATTGTTATGCAGCGCTAGGCCAAGAATTAGAATCATTCGGGTTTAGCCGTCTTAAGAGACGTACTGCTAAAGCCAAATGTTTCTAGTTCTAGGTCTAATGTTAATTCTAGTGACAGTGCAAGTGTAAAACTAGAACTAACACTATACCTAGAACTAGAATCATTCGGGTTTAGCCGTCTTTAGAGACGTGCGGTTAAACCTAAATGATTCTAGTTCTAGGTCTAATGTTAATTCTAGTAACAGTGCTATTGTAAAACTAGAACTAACACTAGGCCTAGAACTAGAATCATTTGGGTTTAGCCGTCTTTAGAGACGTGCGGCTAAACCCAAATAATTTTAGTTCTAGGTATAGTGTTAGTTCCACATAGTAACAGTGCTAGTGTAAAACTAGAACTAACACTAGGCCTAGAACTAGAATGATTTGGGTTTAGCCGTCTTTAGAGACGTGCGGCTAAACCCAAATGATTCTAGTTCTAGGTCTAATGTTAGTTTTAGTGACAGTGCTAGTATAAAACTAGAACTAACACTAAACCTAGAACTAGAATCATTCGGGTTTAGCCGTGCGTCTTTTAAGACCATAACTCAGAGTTATCATAAGGACGTCACCTTTTCCAAGCAAACCGTTTCCACTGCAAGTGGATAGTAGTGTCCTAACTATTGTTACTGCATTTATATATTGCGAGTTTTATAAAATTCCCGGTGTAATTCCTGAGTATTGTTTTCTTTTTGTTTTTCTTTACATATTGTTTTTGTTTGGTCTTAGTTTTATATAACGAATATATTTATTTTCATTTTACTTTTGATTTAAATTATCGATTAATATAAAAAAAACTACTTGACATAATCGGGCGAGAATTCGAATAAATGTTAGTCTTCTTTATCGATTTAAAACATAGAAAAGTTACTATGTCCAAAAAATAAACAAAAATAATAACTTTATGAAGTTAACTTGTGTTATATTTCATCTCCTAATTGGGATCTCTTTGTAGTAGAAAAATAAATTTAATAAACGAAAAGAGTAACATTTCATTCTTTTTTCGATTGTGTCTGAATCCAATATATGGAATATTTCAATTATCAACAAGCTGTAAATTTATCTGTTTGAGAAGATTTGTGAACATTAAATGTTCATTACATGTCGATTTAGATCAGAAAGATTAACAAGTGCTCCAGATTTAGAATCATTTGAATTGATTATTAAAATTAACAATTATATTAACAATAATTTCTTAATACTTTCTCAAAACTTTGTAAATGAAGAGGAGTAGGATTTTAATAGAACAAGAATGCGCAATAGCAACGTTAAATAATAATTGAACATGTGATTAGTTTAATAACTCAACTTTTAATACTTACTTGAAAAAATCATCTTTACAGAAAAGCTGTCCATTTCTCGCAAAGCATTTATCGGTCAATTGAATCCTACAGTCGTTACATTGAAGACATCGTGCATGCCATGTTCTATCCAAGACTTTCAATATGAATTTATCCAAAATCATTTCATGGCATCCACCGCACTTAGGAATTGTAGCTAAAAATAACGAAAAACAAAATCAACTTGATTCTCTGTTTAGGTTCTCTGTTCACATACATATTAAAACCGGCGGAATATCTTCTATAGAAATTGGAGGAACTCTAAACATATCAATATCTAACCCTAAACGTTCCTTAAACTGGGTAATCATAACTCAAAATTAATATCACTGAAAGATCACTACACAAAACTCTTTTTTGTTTTAATTTTTTTTGGTTTAGTGCAGTAAGTTACTTATAGCATGGTGATTTGAAAGGAACTGAACCCTAAAGGGGACCTTTTTGGGCTGAAGGGCCCCTCGTACGCAGTCTCAGTTGACAGTTTTTACCACGACGTCACCGCCCCGACTTTACACAAACGGAGGACAGCGTCTGTGCAATCGGTTTTTTGCCATTGGTCGATGTGCCTTCCGGTTTAACGACGCCACACCCCGTCACTATCAACCCCCGAGTTACTTCAACCCCCTAAATAATACCTCACAAAATCGAAAAACTTCCTTTTAATAAATTAGCAAATTTCAAAAATATCAATAATAATGACCGCATCGATCGTTTAATAATTTGTGGTTTTTTTAAATAATTAATGTTCGTTATTGACCTTTTTCTGGGGATTTATTTTCCCAGATTTTATTACATAACAAACAGATAAAATCCTAAAACGAAAATTGTTAAAACCGCAAGTTTAAAAAGACTGAACGGTGATTTCCCGGGGAATAAATAAAGATTACAATCCGTTGCGGTTTATTTATTCACGTTAATTCACTTATTCGTGGATCGTTTAAAGGTTTCTTTCCAGAGCATCTTCAGGATTAAGTCTATTTACGATAAATAATCGAGATTTAATCCTGGGTTAAGATTTAATCGCGCCGCTTTGATGTTATCATTTGGTGTTATAACTTGTATCAAACAAAAATTCAAGGAAGTTCTAAAAATGTGAATCAATTTTAAATTCTTTATCGTTACTAGAAGAAAAATAATAAAATTTGAATATTACTGCCATTATATAATATGGTAATTATTAGCGATGGCTTTGAATTGTTCTTGGTTATTTATGATGGTAATTTAGTATTTATGAGTTCATTTAGTTTCTTTTAATATGAATCGTGTTTCTCCACTTTTACAGTTCTTACGAATTGTTTTAAGAAGTTCGTGGAAAATCGCGTTTTTATTAATTGTTATGAAACATACTAAATATCTTTTAGTTTTTGCGATAATTTCCACATAAATTATTTATAATGAACTAAAAAAAAACATAATCCATAACGAGATTTTGCTTACTTATAATTACTCATAATTTTGGTTGAAACTTTTAAATGAACAAATTAACAAACTTGTTGATTATTGTCAATTGTAACTAAGCAATTAAATGTGATAAGAAAAAATATTGTGCATATAAATTGTTCATCACGATGCAAAAATGCATGGTTGATAATCAGAGCTACTTTTTTATAACCATATTCTTGTTAGAAAGCAAAAATCCCCAAAATATCAAAATTGATGATTTTCGTCGCTAAAGACTGATTATAATAATGAAGATAACTCAAAAACTAAAAGCGACGGAGAAAAATATGTTCTTAAAATTTGTTTATAATAAACCAAAAAGACATAATCCGTAACCAGGTTGAAGTCAGTTATAACCATGTTTGAAGTAAAAAATAGAAATGCTTAAAACATGAAAATTGATATTGTTCGTTATTAAAGTCGACGGTAATTAAGAAATTAAAAATGATAGGATAAAATATTGTGCATATAAATTGTTCATAATGATGCAAGAATGCATGATTGATAATCAGAACAACTTTATACACAATCATATTCTAGTTAGAAAGTGGAAATTCCTAAAATATCAAAATTAATGATTTTCGTCGTTAAAGAGTGATTGTAATAATAAAGATAACCAAAGAACTAAAAACGATGGAGAAATATATTTTGCGAATGATTTGTTTATAATAAACCAAAAAACATAATCCATAAGCAGGTCAACCTCAGTTATAACCATGTTCGAAGATAAAGGTGGAAATGCTTAAAACATCAAAATTGATATTTTTTGTTATTAAAGTCCATGATAATTAAGAAATTAAAAGTCATAGGATAAAATATTGTGCATATAAATTGTTCATAATGATGCAAAAATGCATGATTTATAATCAGAACAACTTTACTTACAATCATATTCTAGTTAGAAAGTGGAAATCCTTAAAATATCAAAATTGATGATTTTCATCGTTAAAGATTGACTACAATAATAAAGATATCTCAAAAACTAAAAGCGATGGAGAAAAATATTTTGCTAATAATTTGTTTATAATAAACCAAAGAGACATAATCTATAACCAGGTCGACCTCAGTTATAACCATGTTGGAAGTAAAAACTGGAAATGCTTAAAACATCAAAATTGATATTTTTCGTTATTAGAGTCCATGGTAATTAAGAAATTAAAAGTGATAGGTTAAAATATTGTGTACATAAATTGTTCATAATGATGCAAGAATGCATGATTGATAATCAGAACAACTTTACTTACAATCATATTCTAGTTAGAAACTGGAAATTCCCACAATATCAAAATTGATGATTTTCGTCGTTAAAGAGTGATTGTAATAATAAAAATAACTCAAAAACTAAAAGCGATGGAGGAAAATATTCTGCGAATGATTTGTTTATAACAAACCAAAAAGCATAATCCATAACCAGGTCAACCTCAGTTATAACCATGTTGGAAGTAAAAAGTGGAAATGTTTAAAACATCAAAATTGATATTTTTCGTTATTAAAGTCTATGATAATTAAGAAATTAAAAGTGATAGGACACAATATTGTTCATATAAATTGTTCATCACGATGCAAAAATGCATGATTTATAATCAGAACAACTTTACTTACAATCATATTCTAGTTAGAAAGTGGAAATCCCTAAAATATCAAAATTGATGATTTTCGTCGTTAAAGATTGACTACAATAATAAAGGTATCTCAAAAACTAAAAGCGATGGAGAAAAATATTTTGCTAATAATTTGTTTATAATAAACCAAAAAAACATAATCTATAACCAGGTCGACCTCAGTTATAACCACGTTGGAAGTAAAAAGTTGAAATGCTTAAAACATCAAAATTGATATTTTTCGTTATTAAAGTCCATGGTAATTAAGAAATTAAAAGTGATAGGATAAAATATTGTGCATAGAAATTGTTCATAAAGATGCAAAAACGCAGGATTGATAATCAGAACAACTTTACTTATAATCATATTTCTAGTTAGAAAGTGGAAATTCCGAAAATATCAAAATTGATGATTTTCGTCGGTAAAGACTGATTGTTATAACAAAGATAACTTAAAAACTAAAAGCGATGGAGAAAAATATTTTGCTAATAATTTGTTTATAATAAACCAAAAAAACATAATCTATAACCAGGTCGACCTCAGTTATAACCATGTTCGAAGTAAAAAGTGGAAATACTTAAAACATCAAAATTGACATTTTTCGTTATTAAAGTCCATGGTAATTAAGAAATTAAAAGTGATAGGACACAATATTGTGGATATAAATTGTTCATATTGATGCAAAAATGCATAGTTGATAATCAGCACAACTTTACTTACAATCTTAATCTAATTAGAAAGTGAAAATTCCCAAAATATCAAAATTGATGATTTTCGTCGGTATAGGTTGACTGTAATAATAAAGAAATCTCAAGAACTAAAAACGATGGAGAAATATATTTCGCGAATGATTTGTTTATGATAAACCAAAAAACATAATTCATAACCAGGTCAACCTCAGTTATAACAATGTTTGAAGTAAAAAGTGAAAATGCTTAAAACACAAACATTAATATTTTTCGTTATTAAAGTCCATGGTAATTAAGAAATTAGAAGTGATAGGATAAAATATTGTGCATATAAATTGTTCATAATGATGCAAGAATGCATGATTGATAATCAGAACTACTTTACACACAATCATATTCTAGTTAGAAAGTGGAAATTCCCAAAATATCAAAATTGATGATTTTCATCGTTAATCAATAACCAGATTATGCTTTTTGGTTTGTTATAAACAAATCATTCGTAAAATATTTTCCTCCATCGCTTTTAGTTTTTGAGTTATTTTTATTATTACAATCACTCTTTAACGATAAAAATCCCTAAAATATCAAAATTGATGATTTTCGTCGTTAAAGATTGACTACAATAATAAAGATATCTCAAAAATTAAAAGCGATGGAGAAAAATATTTTGATAATAACTTGTTTATAATAAACCAAAAAAACATAATCCATAACCAGGTCAACCTCAGTTATAACCATGTTCGAAGTAAAAAGTGGAAATGTTTAAAACATCAAAATTGATATTTTTCGTTATTAAAGTCGACGGTTATTAAGAAATTAAAAGTGATAGGATAAAATATTGTGCATATAAATTGTTCATAATGATGCATAAACGCATGATTGATAATTAGAACAGCTTTACTTATAATAGTATTCTAGTTAGAAAGTGGAAATTCCGAAAATATCAAAATTGATGATTTTCATCGTTAAAGACTGACTGTAATAATAAAGATAACTCAAGAATTAAAAGGGATGGAGAAAAATATTTTACGAATAATTTGTTTATAACAAACCAAAAAAACATTATCCATAACCAGGTCGACCTCAGATATAACCGTGTTCGAAGTAAAAAGTAGAAATGCATAATACATCAAAATTAACATTTTTCGTTATTAAAGTCCATGGTAATTAAGACATTAAAAATGATAGGATAAAATATTGTGCATATAAATTGTTCATAATGATGCAAAAATGCACGATTGATAATCAGAAGAACTTTAATTATAACCATATACTAGTTAGAAAGTAAAAATTCCCAAAATATCGCAATGGATGATTTTCGTCGTTAAAGATTGACTGTAATAACAAAGATAACTGAAATACTAAAAGCGATGGAGAAAAATATTTTGCCAATTATTTGTTTATAATAAACCAAAAAAAGATAATCC